CTTACGCGCCTTTAATCCCATGTATATTATTCACTACTTCAAAAGAAACGGTAAAAAGGGATGGATTTCTCTTGGCGGAGTTTTCCTTTGCATTACAGGTTTGGATTTAACTTATATATACTGACAGTATGAATAATATCTCTGTTTTCATGTGTTGAATGACTATTTTTATGTAACTCTACAGGATCCGAAGCTATGTTTGCTGATTTAGGTCACTTCAGTGTGCGTTCTATTCAAGTAAGTCTTGTTCATTAGAGTTGACTGTCTATATCACATCCCTCAGGGTGCAGTCTTTCCCCTAATGCCATTGAACTCACTCATTATGTTGTATATATGTAACGCAGATAAGCTTCAGTTGTCTCGTATTTCCAGCTTTACTCTCAGTTTACAGTGGCCAAGCTGCTTATCTCACAAAATTCCCTGAAAATGTGGAGAACACTTTCTATGACTCTATTCCAGGTAAGGTTTGCGTACATCTTACCCTCCCTAGACCCTACTCGTGGAACTACACTGAGACCTGAGTATGTTATTATTGTTGTTTCATTACTCTGTTGACGTCTATAGCGTATGAAGTGATGGATCAATTCATCATAATCTAGTTTTGTTGGTGTTGTTGTACTACAGGTCCACTTTACTGGCCAACATTTGTAGTGGCTGTTGCTGCAGCCATTATTGCAAGTCAAGCGATGATTTCTGGAGCTTTTTCTATTGTTGCTCAAGCACAAAGCGTAGGTTGTTTCCCAAGGGTGAAGGTAATTCACACATCAACCAAACATGGCGGTCAAGTATACATCCCGGAACTCAATTACTTCCTCATGATTGCTTGTGTTTTAGTTACTTTTAGCTTCAAAACAACCGAAAAATTGGGACATGCTTATGGTATTGCTGTCGTTAGTGCTGAAATCATAACGACACATATGGTTACATTAGTAATGCTTGTTATATGGAAGACGAGAATATGGTGGATTACCTTATTCTACGCGGTGTACCTTACCGTTGAATCAACATATTTCTCTGCTCAGCTCGCAAAATTCACTCAAGGTGGTTATCTACCCATTGTATTCTCAATCGTGCTTGTGATCATTATGGGAACTTGGCATTATGTTCAAAAACTTCGATACCAATTCGAGCTCAACAACAAGGTTTCGAGTGAGTACATTAGGGATTTGTCTGATAATCCAGACATCAAAAGAATACCAGGAATTGGACTACTATACTCTGAATTAGTACAGGGGATTCCACCTATTTTCCCTCATTTTGTCTCCAATATTCCCTCTGTTCACTCTGTTATCGTTCTCGTGTCAATCAAATCAATACCTATAAGTAAAGTAGCACTACAAGAACGTTTCTTGTTCCGTCATGTTGAGCCTAGAGAGTACAAGGTATTCAGATGTGTAGTCAGATTAGGCTACAAAGATCAACTTGGTGACACAATGGATTTTGAAAATCAATTAGTTGAACAATTAAGCAAATTCGTAAGACACGAACATTACATTCTTGAAGCACATGAACTAGTTGTGAATAGAGAAAAAACATCCAGGGTTCACATAGAGGAAGATATGCAACAACAACAACAAGAAGTGGATTCTACAACATCACCATCAACGCGTTCCATTCAATCTAATCGTTCATCGAGTAGAATACAAATGTTGCATCCAAATGCTTCAGGACAAGAAGAGATACAATTTATCGAAAAAGCTAAGGATCAAGGAGTGTTCTATCTATTGGCAGAAGCAGAGGTGATTGCTAAACAAGATTCGTCGTTCGTGAAGAAAGGTTTTATCAATTATGGTTATAATTTCTTGCGCAAGAATTTCAGGCAAGGGGAGAAAGTTATGGCCATTCCTCAGACAAGGCTTCTAAGGGTTGGCATGACTTATGAGCTATAATAAACAAGGTGAATAATATTATGATTTCTGCGTTTTGTGTATGTTTTACCTTTTTCTATCCTTTAATAAAGTGTGCTAATTTAAGCTTGAGTAATGTAAATGTACCCTATTAAATGTACCTTGGGCGTAACTCCAGAAGTTAGCTAATCGACCTTACATGTATTATTCTCTCTATCTAATACAAATGATCTTATGTGTACATCTCTACATGTGTTGCACGTGCACGATGTTATCTGAGTCTCAATACTCCCCCTCAAGTTGGTGCGTACAAGTATATTGAACAATATCAGCTTGGACATCAAGTACTCATGTTGTGATAATCTTGGTTGAGCCTTTTGTTAGCATATCTGCTAATTGTTACTTAGAATGATCACAATTCACATGTAAGGTTTTCACCATTCCCAAATGAACCTTCTTTCCGATGAAGTGACAATCTATCTCGATATGTTTTATCCTTTTACGATACCTTGAATTAACGGTTTTGTTGTCTCTTGTGTACATCAATAGGCAATGCAATTTCAGCACCAAGTAGGTTGAAAATGTCTCATTATAATCTTAAGTTTTTCCTTTTGATTATATTCCTCGCACTATAACAAATAAAGAATTTTACAGCAATAACAAATATGAGTATTTATAGTCAACACTTATATAAAAGCTGCTAAAAAATTTAACGACTCTAAATGCAATTGCTTTTAACTCAATTAGATATCGTTAAGTATCTCTTTTGTTATGGTGTTGACAACTAACCTTTTGCCTTAAACCTCTTTGTTGTTCCAATCAGTCCAATGAGGAAACTTCTGTAAATATTGTTTAATTGACCTTATTTAAGTATCATCCTTCATTAGAGGTTTTGAATTTGAATTCGCTGGCTCTTTACTCCTAATTTGGTACTTCTTGACATTAATTAATTTGGATAAATTACATTGAAATTTGAAGAGAAAAAAGCCTCCAAAAAAAAGTAAAAAAAGGAAAATTATTTTTTTCTCAAGGAAAATTATCCACCAATAAGACATTCTATACGTTATTTAAAACAAAATCCAATTCAATTTGACAAATTATTACCTAAGATATTATTATCAATCTTTTATAATACACATGTTGCAAAAACATTACCTTCACATCTGATTCCACACTGAAAAATTACCTTAAATGATTTTTAAAAAATAAATAAACACTTTATTTATTTTTACATCAAAAAAATTCCTCCATGCAAAACGAAAAAAATTCTATTCTCTTTCCTTTTTCAGAAAACTTAATTAGGAAAAATATCTCCAAGAGTAAAACTCATATGAAATATACAAAATATCCAGAGAAAATCCCAAAATTAATAGAAAAATAGAATGAGTATTCCTTTTTTGTCTTTTATTTAAGATTAGGATTAGTTTCCTTACTATGAATTCAATTAGTTTGGATATAAGAGTGAATTTGTAATGACATTGTTGTATAAATTATTGATCTTTTGTTTGATCTTTTTTTCTTTGGGGTAATAAAAATGTAATTGTTGTGATATATAATTAGCAGAAAAATTTTCAACTCTAAAGAAAAGACAAAAACGTATACTTATTGCTAAATTAAGCCAAACATTCTTATTTTAATAAATAAATTATTTGGTCGTAGATTAACAATCCTTCCTTGTCCTGATGCTAAAATTAAGTTGGTTGAAAATAGATGTAGGTTAGAATGGTTTAGTTAGGACCGCGTATTAGTCGGTTTCGTTATTAGTTTTGAAGTTTGACTTATCGATTATCAGTTTGTATGAATGTTAAATTTTATAGAATCATTAAGATATTGATTTATTGCTTATCGATATATTATTGATCGATTGGTTTAACCGTTAAGAATTAACACATACTAAAAATAATTATTGAAGATTACTTAGAAACAAGGTGACAAACCAAATGAACCATGCATATGAGTTCACAGATTGCATCTTGCTCAAAAGCAAATACTGACACATTGTAGAATAACCGAGAGTTTGAGACAGCCAGAAATAAAAGTATGAAACTAAAACCGAAGTCAATGACTTAATATATCAAATAGTATAAATACTTATAATTAATTAATTTACTATCAGATTATCAGTTAACCTGTTAAGAAAAAACTTCAAACTGTTAAAGATTGATAACGCGATAATAAAAAAATTAAAACCATTATTAAAGTCGATAAATCAATATCGCATTAATGATAGACCAATAACTTTTTTTCGATTCGAATTTTCAACCGCCATAGTTGCAGTTATTCATATACAGCGATAAATAATCCGCTTTTATAGTATTTATTCTTTAGCTGAAAACATTGAGCATCATTAAACATCAATTTGAATATTTTTTTTGTGTTTGCATTAATTAATTATATATATATATTCATATGAATTTATTTAATTTTAACTAGAAAAATGAGGGTAAAAATATATATAAAAAAATTAACTGAAAAAATAAATAATAATACAGGCCAAAGAGAGTTGTCACATCATTTTTCTAATGTCTAGCTTTAATATATTACTCCCTCCGTTTGCTTTTATTTGTCATGTTGCGCTTTTTGAGAGTCAATTTGACTAATTTTCAAAGTTAAATTAGATTACATTATCTAAACAAAAAAATTTAGATATTCAAAAACTATACGAAAAGTACTATAAATTACAATTTTTTGCATATCAATATGATGAAAAAGTCAATAGTAAAATGTTAGTCAAAGTTTTAATAGTTTAACTCTAAAAAAGGAAACCATAACAATTAAAAGTGAACGGAAGGAGTAGACAGATTCCGATCCTTGTATTTAAATAAAAGAAAGTAAAAAGAATAATATAAGGAAAAAAAGTAATTTAAGGAAATGATATAATGATATTAATAATGAAATTAAGAAAAGAAGGCAAAAACTTATAAGGAAAACAAATTACAGCATTGATGATGAAAGATAAAATATAAAAAATTAAAAAAAAAAATCAATAAAATTCTAGACCTTATAGAGAGCGTCACATCATCGAATTTATATCCCAAACTTTTTATATATATAATTTAGGAAGTAACCAAGTAATTGTGATTTGTGGCTAGTCAACTTCTTAGGGTGTAAGTTTTTGAGGGCCTATATATATAAAGAGCAAAGGCAAAAAAAGAAGAGGCAGCCTTTGTGATAAAAAATTTTAAAAAATGGCAACTTTAGATAGTGAAAATAAGCTTAAAGGTCGTAAAGTGTCATGGACAAAGTTGCATCGTGTTGATTCCCTCAACGTGGAGGCTGGAAAAGTTTCTTTGACTCCGTCAAGACACGCGTCAAAGGTATAGATTTAAATTATATATACGTAACCGAATCTTTTATGATGTTGATATCAGAAATGGAATCAAAATTTTAACGAGCGAATTCAAAAATATTTATACAAGATTCCTTCGATCTATAACCTAAAGTGATTTTTAACCATCTTAACCACTCCATTAGAAATGATTTTGTTTTACAACACTTGTCCTATGAAGGGACAAGATTCATTTGAATATGTAGGCTTGTCAAAATGTTTAGAATGTTCAAAATCAAAATTTTAACTAGGGAATTAAAAAAACATATACAAGATTTCTTCGATCTATCTTTGATCTATGACCTAAAGTGATTTTTAACCAATCTTTACCACTTCAATAGAAATGATTTTTTTTGTACAACATTTGTTTATTTCTATACAATTTTTTGTACTATGCAGGGTGATTGGAAGACATTACTGAGTTTAGCATTTCAATCAGTAGGAGTTATCTATGGAGACATAGGGACTTCCCCTCTCTATGTTTTTTCAAGTACTTTTACTGAAAAAATTAAACACAAGGATGACATTTTAGGTGTATTGTCCCTCATCATATATACCATAATCCTCATACCTATGACTAAGTATGTCTTCACTGTCTTATGGGCCAATGACAATGGCAATGGTGAGTTATACATGTCCTCTATCTGTTTTTTTTTATTTGGTTTTTCACCTGATATTTGTAGATTCATATCGCGTACTTTCTATTTTTATGTTACTATTTGGAGAATTGAACAATTTTGTCTTTACGTATCTATTATTTCTTAAAACTCTTTTGAATATTTAGAATTATTAGTCTCGTGTGATACGTACTTTCCACAATGTACCTTATATGAATGTATACAAAATTTGTATGGAAATAACATAAATAATATGTTTGAATTATAATTTTTTTTAGAAATGGTGAATATTGATCTTGTTTAGTAGTATTTGCTTAATAGTGGAAGAAATCCCTAAGGTCTAATGATGAATAAAAAGAAATAATTAATTTTAAAAAAATAGTTGTAAATACAATTTTGTCCAACATTGAATACATATGAAAGATAAAAAAGTCTTATCAACATTTCACATTGTGATGATAAGATTTTTTATTAGATTAGTGTATATAATTTTTCAAAATATAAATGAAGGATATTTTTAGAAATTTGCAATTAATTCTATCTTTATTTTCAATATTTCTTAAGATTGTGTTCATTGAATCTAATATATATATATTTATATATTTAAATTTTGTTTCATTCCTTTTATATTCTCAAATTTGAATTGGGTAAAGATATGATTTGACCATTTTTACACTGTTTGTTATGAATATTAAATGTGTGTGAACGTACTTATTATCTTGCTTTAAAAAACTTAATTATCTTTTCTTCCTTTTTTCCTTTTATATCCAACAGACAATTTTGATTTTTTACCATACTGTATTCCTCATTTTCCTTTTTATATCTAATAACAATTTTAGCTGTTTCCTATTTTATATTTTCCTAGAAAAGAAGTTTTATTTAGAAATAAATTTCTATGTGAAAATGATTTTCCTTAAAATGAGTAAAATGAATTCCCTAATGAAAGTAGGAAAAATAAGTTTCATAAGTGGTTTCCCCACCCCCACCCCATTCCACATGTCTAGTGTTTTTTTTAGATTATAAATAATTATTTTTGAGATTTTATTTTATTTTTCTTATAAAATTATTATAAAATAAATAAGAAATTTAGTTATTTTTCATAACATTTCTCTTAGACAGACCCTAATTATGCGAACTTATGAACAATACTTCTTGCTTAACTTTTGAGATATGTAAATACAATTTCCAATACTTGAAGAATGTATGACTTACCGTCACATAAAATAAAATAAGACGAAAATCTTAATATTTACATAGTTTAATTATTTTCTTATTCTTTTGCAGGAGGATCATTTGCATTATATTCCTTAATATGTAGATATGCAAAAGTGAGTCTGATCCCAAATCATGAGCCAGAAGATAGAGAACTTTCACATTATGGTTTGGAAATACCATCAAATCAATTTAAAAGGGCTCAAAAAATCAGACATAAATTGGAGAACAGTATTTTTGCAAAAATTGTTCTCGTTTTTTTTGCCATTCTTGGAACATCTATGGTCATTGGTGATGGAGTTCTCACCCCTTGCATCTCAGGTTCGGTATAAAGAATTTTTACACTATTATTACGATACCTAAACGATTGTTAGAGCCAACCGTCAATAATAAATGACAATATATAATTAACATTTTACAATCAACACTTTAGAATAGTCAATTATTATTTTCGCCTCCATGTCCCAATATGGGATCAACATACATAACATAAGGACACAAAAATAAGTGGTCTTATCAAACACATGTAGGATAATAAGTTCATGAGCTCCTAACCTGATAAATACGACAGACAATTTGCTATAACAAGTTAAATTAAATCGATAATGCAAAAATATAATAATTACTTGCATTCTTATTTAATTTGATGTTTTTTTTTATGCAATGCAGTTCTCTCTGCTGTAAGTGGGATCAAGCCTCTAGGCCAAGGTAATAAATTTATGTTAATGAATTCTTCTTCTTCATTTTTTTCTCTCTTATTCCTAACTTTTAACCAAAGAAAATCGAAAAAATGATCCTTGCAGAGTCGATTATGTATATTTCTGTTGCGATTTTGGTGGCTCTCTTCTGTTTTCAACGTTTTGGTACGGATAAAGTTGGATACACATTTGCTCCGGCTATAAGCGTTTGGTTTTTATTCATAAGTGGCATTGGTCTATACAACTTGTTCACGTATGATATAGGCGTTTTACGCGCCTTTAATCCCATGTACATTCTTCACTACTTCAAAAGAAACGGTAAAAATGGATGGCTTTCTCTTGGCGGAGTTTTCCTTTGCATTACAGGTAACAATTTTCATAATTCTATATGTAAAATCGAACTTTGTAAATAATGTGATAGAATTTTGAACTCTAACACATAATTGTTCATAGGGTCTGAAGCTATGTTTGCTGATTTGGGTCACTTCAGTGTGCGATCCATTCAAGTAAGTCTCCTTTCATTTTCTTCTTTAATAAGCCTTACGCGATATAAATTGATGTGTAATATATTGCAGATAAGCTTTAGTTGCCTCGTATTTCCATCGATCCTCTCTGCTTACATTGGACAAGCTGCTTATCTCTCAAAAAACCCTGGTGATGTGGGAAATGCTTTCTATGCTTCAGTTCCAGGCAAGTTTCATTTGTATGCATATTTATTCATTCGTCAATTTCACCAATTATTTTGTGTTAGTCCCACAAGTAGAGTCTGGTAGTCCCACATATGTTGTTCCCTTGAAGACGCCTCAACATATTTGAATCCTTCTCATACTTATATGACCCCCTAACTTTTTCTCTTCTATTTCGATATGTGATTTACCTGAGACAAGTTTACGAGCAAACTCCCTCTAAAGTTTAACCACCAACAAAAGGGGAGTTTGCCATGAAACTTCTCTTAGGTAAAATCACACATATGTCATATAAGGATCTTTCGAGGCGCCTTTTGACAACATACAAAGTTTGGACCTACATTGTATCATAACACCATAGATAATTGGTTTTGTTTGTGTTGTTTACAGTTGCACTTTACTGGCCAACATTTGTAGTGGCTGTTGTAGCTGCCATTATTGCGAGTCAAGCGATGATATCTGGAGCTTTTTCAATTGTAGCTCAGGCACATAGTCAAGGTTGTTTCCCAAGGGTGAAAGTAGTTCACACATCTGAAAAACATGAGGGTCAAGTTTACATCCCGGAACTCAACTACTTCCTCATGATTGCTTGTGTTTTAGTTACTCTCAGCTTCAAAACAACCGAAAAATTGGGACATGCTTATGGTATTGCTGTGGTTAGTGCTGAAATCATAACAACACATATGGTTACATTAGTTATGCTTGTTATATGGAAAATCAGCATATGGCGTATCGCCCTGTTCTACTCTGTCTATTTAACCATAGAATCAACATATCTATCAGCTCAGCTCACAAAATTCGTGGATGGTGGATATCTACCCTTGACCTTCGCGATTGTGTTTGTGATCATCATGGGGATTTGGCACTATGTTCAGAAACAAAGATATCATTTCGAGCTCAATAACAAGGTCTCGAGTGACTACATAAGGGACTTGGCCAGTAATCCAGACATCAAAAGAATACCAGGAATTGGACTACTATACTCTGAATTAGTACAGGGGATTCCACCAATATTTCCTCACTTTGTCTCCAATATTCCATCTCTCCACTCTATCATCGTTCTCGTGTCAATTAAATCCATTCCTATAAGTAAAGTAGCACTCGAGGAACGTTTCTTGTTCAGACATGTTGAGCCTAGGGAATACAAAGTGTTTCGATGTGTCGTTAGGTTGGGCTACAATGATCAAATTAGGAAACCAGAGGACTTTGAAAACCAGTTGATCCAATATTTGAAAGAGTTCATACAACAGGAAAATTATATTCTTGCAGCACATAATGATCAAGTTGCAGATAAGGAAATTGAAACTGAAACACCGGTATCAGGCCAACAACAAGTAGAATCATCGTCAACTGTGGTCCACCTAGAGGAAGAGCTGCAACAACAAGTAGAATCAAGAGTATCATCACCAACTGGTTCGATTCGATCAATTAACACTCCATCAGGTCAGTCTAATCATTCATCAACTCGAATACAAATTGTGCCACCAAGTTTGGTGGACACAGAAGAAGAGATGCAATTTGTGGAAAAGGCTAAAGAGCAAGGGGTGTTCTATCTGTTGGGAGAAGCAGAAGTTGTGACGAAACAAGATTCGTCGTTCTTGAAGAAATTTGCTGTCAACTATGCCTACACTTTCTTGCGCAAGAACTTCAGACAAGGTGACAAAATGATGGCTATTCCCAAGACTAGGCTTCTAAGGGTTGGCATGACTTGTGAATTATAATTCTGACTGAAAATTCACCGCTATAAGTTTTTTCTACTACTTCTGTATGACCTTTTTATTTACTGAATGAACAACTACTATTCTCTGAAATTCAATTCACTTACATATATTGATCAACATTACAAGTTATGGCACGTTTACCGGACACCTAAGGAAGGTACAGCCCAACTATGAGGTACAACAGCAGATGTTTACAATAAAACGTATATGGCTCTTTGCTGGTAGAACCACTCTATTGTCGAACTTCTAATAAATGTGATTGATCCAATTCTAGATCATCTTCTGTTATGCTCGAAATAAAAACTAGGATTTTGAATTTACAAGTTCCGAATATTTGAAATAATTGAGAATCACGAGAACCTTTCCAAACATCTATCTTCTTAGGGCAATTGGAAAAGAAAGGAGTATTTTAATTCTTCTACTACCTTTCATTCCACTATTCTGATCGAATTACTTACTCTTTCTAACGACAAACATAACAAAATCATATTTTTTTTGCATTAAAATCTTCTCAATTTGCATTTTAATAGTACAATACTATTTTTTTTCAATTCTTAACCTATGATATTTACATATTTTCTTTCTTTCTAGTTATTCGAATATAACAATAAACAGCAGCAAAAATAGCAGTAACAAGTCCACCAATAATGACCTCTCCTCCAGCAACAGACTTATCAGCAGAATGATGATGCCTTATTTTCAGAATATTAGTAACCTCCGGGGCCGAAGCTTCGGCCCCGGAGGGTCCTTCAACAATTTCATTTTCTCCTTCTTCAAACAACTCTGCAATTCTACCTTTCGATAATGGTGGATTTGCAATGTTACTTTCCGCTACTCTTTTAATCGTAAGCTTTCGTGGGAATGGCGGAGAAATCTGAGATTTCTCTGCCATTGCTTGGAAAATCAAGACTGAAATGAAAACAGAGCAAGAGAACATAAATTTTGATATTGATCTGCCCATTATCACAAGTGAAAATTTTGAAATTTTTTAAAGATTTTGAATTGTAGTCAAGGTGTTTGATGAAATTACTAGGAGAATATTTGGGGTTACAAATTTAGGAGATGATTGGTATTATATATATATAGGGGAATATTCCGTGTAGCTCAGAGGTTGAAGATCTAGAAAACATGTTGAGGAAGTGGGATCTATGTGGGGTGCTTTTCACTGAAAATGAAACCTTAATGACCAAGTAGCTGTTGAAGTGGAAAGTTAATCTTCATCTCTTTCGATTTATGTGATATAATTTGAGTCGATGCATATACAAAGAAAATATTTTCACAGATTAAAGGAATTAAATAACGATTCATTTAGTGGAAGCAGAATAAACAAGTTGAATAAGGGCATTCCGTGTGATATTTTTTTTTTCACTCTTCAGCATACCTCATCTTCACTCAAACCCCATAACATTTCCATCCCGCTTTCTCCATTTCTCCTTCTCCTACCTCCTATTATTTTTTTTAAAAAAAAGAAAAAATCTACGAGCTCGATGTAAATGCAAAGTCCATAAATTTTAAAGACATAATACCTAAATTGACATTTATATCTTCTAACTTTGGGGGTGCATAAGTACACACTTAATTTTTTGTAAAATTGAACAAATAGACATATTCATTGGCGTCCTACATGACAATTTATGTCCTATAATGAGTCTTAATTGCATTATGTCTTATAGAACACGTGTGTCTACTTGTTTAATTTTATATAAGATTAAGTGTCTATTTATACATATTCTAAGTTAAAGAGTATAAATGCTAACTAAAATCAAATTTAAAAGATATATTATGTCAATTTTAAATTCTGAATTTGCTTCACTCCGAGGCTCCATGTTACCTAGATTGTGATGCAACAACCACTTCTAGAAGTAAAGTAAACCTCCCATCAACTAGCAGCTGGCTGGAACCATAGCTAGGATACAACTGGAGCAAAATTAACCTGTTAATTCCTTCTACTTGATTGTTCAAGTATCTTTGTCTGTTTATATGGCTATAATTTAGAATAGTTAGGTCCATGTTTCTTAAAAACATGAAAGGTCACCTCATATTTTTGGATTTAATAAAAAGACTCTAAAATTTAAGCCCACATGTATAAACTGATGGTTTTAGATTTTTCTGTAGTACTAATTATATTTTTGATTTGTTCGGCTTGATTTGGAGTATGAGGATTAAAATAAAAAGATTTGGTGTGAATTTAAATGTAGATCTTCATTTTAAAATAAAATAAAATTTACATATTACTTTGTGTAACAATACTCTTATACTATCCAAATAGTAATTAGGATAAATAAATTAAAACTAAAGGAATACTCAAAAGCAGGATGCACATTATAACTCATGTGCACTGTAATAGATTTGATGAGAAAAGGAGTGGGTTATAATTATTTTTTTTATGACATGGGTGTCTAGATCAGATAATTATGTTCATCTCGATTATTTCATTAAACACATACTCTATTATTATATTCTTCCATAAATACATATACAAGGTAATATCTAAAAATTACACAAACTAAACTGATGTCTATTGATGCATATAGGGTCGCTGGTGTGTTGTCAGTCCTAGCGATAGATTCAAAATCTATTTTTTTTAAAAAATTTTAAATTATATTTTCTAATTTAAAATGAATTTGCTCTAACGAAAAAATTTTCAACTCTTTCAAATCCACATACCAAATCTAAGAAAAAGCTATGCAAATACCAGATTTAAGAGAAACCTATCATGTTCGTTCTGAACGCATATCTAATACTCCCTTCGTCCCATTTTATGTGGCACCATTTCCTTTTTGGTCAGTCCCAAAAAGAATGTCACATTTCCTTATATGGTAAGTATTTAAAGGTATAATTCCTTTTTTACCCTTGTTTGTCTTACTTAATCTTAAAATAATACTCCAATACATTTATGATGAGAGAAAAAAGTGAGTCTACTTTTTAAAAGACAATTTGGTAAACAATTCAAAGTCTTCATTTATTTCTTAAACTCCGTGCCCAATCAAATGTTGCCATATAAAATAGGACGGAGGGAGTACTACAATTGCTCAAAATTCACAATTATCTCATATATTATTAACGGAATTAAGATTTAAGGTGTACTCTGTAAAATGTAAAATGAATAAAAATTGGGGTTGGGCCGTCTAGTAGGGCTGTTCAGAGTCAAATCGAAATTGATAATCTGAGCTGAAATTTTTTTATTGGTTTATCAATAATAAGTTATTGATTTAGCGGTTTTGATAACGGTTTTTGATTTTTTTGTTATCGGGTTATCGATTTTTAATGATATGACGTTTTTTCTTAACGTATTAACCGATAACCGGATAGTAATTAAATAATTATACTTATACCATTTTGTATAAAAGTCTTTGACTTAGAGTTTAGTTTCCTATTTTTATTTTTGTTTGTCTTGAACACTTGGTTATTCTACAATGTAAAAGAGTTGCATTTGAGCAAGATGTAATTTGTGAATTGTGCATAGTTCATCTGGTTTGTCACCTTGTTCCTAAGTAATTTTCAATGATTTTTTTTGTATCAAATCTTAACGGTTAAACCGATAATGATCAATAACCAATAAATCAATAACCGATAAGTCAATAACTTAATGGTTCTATAACGTTTTAGCATCTCTACAAATCGATAACCAATAAGTCAAACCGATGTATTTCAAAACCAAACCGAACCGACTGATACACAATCCTACTGTAATAGCTTTTTCTACCCTTTTTTTCAAGGATAAATTTATATGCTTTATTATATTCGGAGACGAGGCTAAGCTCCCATATTCTGACATATAACACTCCAGACATGGGATTATTTTAGTTTTTATTTTTTAAAAAAGAAATCTTTTTGTAGTGAAATATAAGGATTCTTTTGAAAAAAAAAACAAGTAAAAATTGGAGATGAGTTGTCTCGTTATTGAATCCTTTCTAGCTATGAATTAAAATATATAGTTAAATTGAATAACAAGCGTAAGAAATTAGAATTTAAACATGTATTTTAAATTTTGATCTCCTTAAATTATCAAAAAAAAAAATTAAAATTTATTAATATTCGACAAAATTTTACGATAAATATAAAGTTGCGACAATCCCAAAAAAAATCAGAAAGCAACAGTAAAATGTACTGCCACCGAATATCATCAGACTGAATTTATTTGAAGCATAAAAGTCTTAAAATTACTACCCTCTTTCACACTTGAAAGTTGTATTGTCTAATTCTCATCGATCGAGGTGAAATCAAATTATAATCATCATCGTTAATAAGTTTTGTAATTATGTATATATACATTTTTAATAAAAAATATTATAGAAGGATCTAATAAAAATTATTGTCTAAAGTGTCCGTTCTCATAACTAATACTATCGTGAATTAGGTTTTGAGTTACTTGAAAGTTAAATTAAATTAGATAAAAAAAAGAAGAAGGGCATTTTGTGGTCACTCAATGAAATTTACCTTTTTGACTGTGATTGATGACTTTGCCACACCATTTTTCTTAGCTGGTTTAGACTTTAGAGAAAAATATTTCTTGGTTCCCCACTAAAAGGAATCCTAGATATAAGATAAAAGAAAAGGTGGAACAAAAGGCCAAAGCGAAACTAGAATCATATTGACAAATTTTCCTAGCTAGAATTAATCACTCATTATTTTACTGTCTCGTGCTTGAACAATGGTGATATTTTATTTATATATAGAAAAAATGAATAATTGATATAGTGTATCTGTGGTTCGATAAATATTTGGTGATATTTAAGTAGCAAAATGAACAAGTGATAATTGATGTGTATTTCAAAAAGCATTTGGTGATAGTTCAAGTACTACACTTACACATCAATAGTTTATGTATAAAACTAAAAAAGTCGAGAGTTTTTAGGTGTGTATTTGATCGTTCACTCATCTATTTATAGTAAACAACATATTACTAACACTTTCTCTATCGTAATTTATGTAAAAGTGTTTGATTAAACACAAAGTTTAAGAATGAAAACAAGTTTTTTAAAGTTTGTGGTCTAAAC